TACATGTGGTGCTGACAAGACTGACCTTGTCAGAAAAGCAACATGTGATTGGAAGTTGACTTTAATGCAATTTCATTCTCTAATTTTTTAGAGAAGAGTTGGCAGTTAGAGAATTTAAGAATCGATGTATGATCACTGTGATATAATTCGTCCAGTGTCCCAATTATTTTCGTCGCGATATTGGGAGAACAGGCAGATACCTCTATGGCGGTTACCATGTTGTGTGCTGATAGGTGTGTATGTATTCCATTGTTAAGGATCGATAAATTGTAATAGTTGTGAAAAAATACTCAACACAATTGAGTACCTTTGCAATTTGTTTTAGATGAACCCCACGCCGTATTCCAGCATTAAAATCACCCACAACAATGGTGTTTGGAGATGTGTTGGCTGTATTTTCCAGATCTAGGGCAGCGATATTAATGTTTGGATGTTTTGTAGTAGAATTTTAGAGTTGAGTTCTATTATTGTTGAAGGAACTAAAAAGTTGTAATTTATTAATAAAGTGTGTGGAATTTGTTTTTTAATTAAAAATGTTATAGTTTTTTTGTTACTGTTTTGTGTGTTGTGAAAATAAGCGTTGTAATGTTTCGGACATAGTGTTTTGCTAAGTGCTTTTCTTGAATTGCAATTATGCCTGCTTTTGTTCGATTTATGCGTATTTCTAGATTAATATAGTTGTTTTTGTAACCATTTATATTCTATTGTAAGATCTTCATGACATTCCAAAATCAAATAATTCTGTACCAGAAGAGCATTAAATTTTTGTGTATGTGCATTAAATTTTTTTTTTCTCAATTTTTTTTTTAGAGTTGACAATTTATTTTGCTGCAACTGCATTATTTACTGATATTGATTTGGTGGTAGTTTGTTTTTTTTTTTGAAATTAATAAGGTTTGCTGGTTGTTATTTCTTGAGAGATTCTTGTTGTTTTGAAAGTAAATTCATTTGTTTAGGCATGTTTGTTTCTGAGTAGTGTGCTTAATACTTCGATTGGTGTTTGTTTAAAAAAATAATCGGATGCATAGGTCGAGTTTACGAATGGTGTTGCTTCTCCGATTGAAAGTTTTTGTATTGTGGATTGTTTATTTTTATTTATTGTATTATTTCTTGTATTTTGACATATTTGGGACATTGTCTGTTGAGAGTTGCAATTAGAACATCTTATGGTTTCAAAGGGGCTTTTGAAAATAGCTGCGAACTTGTCAAAAAGAAACGTTCTAGGAACGTCCAATGGTGGAATAGGGAACTGGACATTTTGCGCAAAAAAGCCCGCCCAGCGGGAACTGGGCATTTACCTTAACGGTTTACAATAAGGAATTGAGGAAATTAAAGAGGGAATCATGGAGGAGGCACTGCGAGGAGATTGAATCTTCTCTCGGCTGCGAGACTCCAGAAATCTCTAAACAAAGATCATCAAAACCTCTCTATACTAAAGAAGGCTGACGGAAGACACTCATTTTCCAGGCTGTGTCATGTAAATTGAGACTACGGGAACCATCGACGATACTCGTTTCTTGTTGGTCACGTTGGATAGTGTTTTAAGCTTGATGAACGATTCAGCAGTTTTGGTCTTAGTTAATATTAGTAGATTTCCATCTGTTGTAAATTTAGTAAATTGTCTATTTGATTTACCTATTACTCTAAGGTTTTTGATAAAAGGAAAATGTTATTGTGCTTAGAGCATGGTTTGCCTTCACACTTTTTATCAAAATAAATTGCGGATTTTCGTTATTTCTTTTGCTTGCTCAGGACAGTGACGAAAATTTGTTATTTTCGGTTAATGCTCATGGTATCATGTATTTTTTTTTTACAAATAATGACAGGTGTGGAGTTAAAAATAGTATATAACCATACTCGAATTTGGAACCACAAAAAAATATCATTATTGAAATGAAACCCGTGATGGAATTCACGACACTAGACGTGAACACAGATTCGGTGAATATGGAATCTGAAGATGAAACTTTACGAGAATATTGTGGCATCTCGGATTTACGATAAAATTAAGAAATTTAGTCTTAACATTTACAACAATAAACGAAAGGCTTGCTAAAATCCATATTAAATTTTTTCACATCACCCTAATTTGTGCACATGTCCAGATGGAAGATAGAGATGGCATCAAGGAAACTTTCTATGAACAGCTTGGACAAATATATGAACGCTGACCAAATCATGACATAATCGCTGTAGCAGACTTCAACGAAAAGGTGATTAAAGAAGGTATCTTTGGTGCTACTGTCAGAAAGTTCAGTCTTCACACAAAAACTTCTGATAATAGAAGGCTGATTGATTTCGCCGCGGCTAGAGACATTGTGGTTAGTAGTACCAGATTCCAGCATCTCAACATACATAAGGCAACATGGCTGTTACCTGATCAAAACACAAGATCTCAAGTTGATCACGTTGTGATAGACGAAAGGCATGCTTCCAGTGTGTTGGATGTACGTACTATCCGAGGAGCCAACATCGACTCGGATCATTATCTTATTTCAGCCAAGATTCACACACGTGCAATGAAAAAGGTACGTGAACAAGCATAGCGAAAACTAGAAGTCAAAAAGCTACAGTAACAACAAACAGCTAATGACTTCGCTACTCGACTCTCCCAATATCTAGAAAATGAATTTGAAGAAACCATCTGCTACCGCTGCAGAAGAGGTGATTGGCTACCACCGTAGACAAAGAAACAGCTGATACGACCAAGAGTGTCGCACACTATCGCAGTGAAAGATGCAGCATATCAAGTCACCCTGCGGTCGGTAGGGACACGCGCCGATAAAGAACGATATCGGCAAAAGAGAAGGGAAGAGAAACGTCATTTCAGGCAGAAAAAGAAAGAAGCAGGACGGAAGTACAAGAGATTGAGAAACTGGACGACAGGAATATGATTCGAAAATATAAACCAAAAAATCAAATGGTTATAAACCCGAAGTTAATTCCTTCAAAGATCAAAATAGTAATCGGGTGATAGATATCCACAGCATGGTTAACATTTGGAGGGATCACTTCTCGAACCTACTAAATGGTGATTGTAGAGATGTGACTTAAAGTGATGATCTCGATTTCACAATCGTTGACGATGAAGTAATCGTCCCGCCTATCCATAATAATAAAGTTAAA